TTGAAGAGTTAGATTCCTACAATGTGACCACAAATTGTAAGACACACTTAAATCAAAAAATAAATGAGCAGTAAATGAGCATGAATTTTAAATGCACACAGTGGTGTATAACATACTATGAATTACACTGGTCATTCTTTTTACTAGGGCACTCAATATCTTTACACATTTTAACACATTTTAGAGAATTCCTTTTCGCTTCATGGGTGAATTAGAGAACTATAAAAATGAGTGGTTGAGAAGCTCAAATTCACATAGAAGAAAAATGACAGCACTAAGAATATTGATACCAATGCCAAGAAGTGAAAATACACCTGCTTAACATCTGGTTTCTTCAATACGCAGCAAAAAGGAGACGCCAAAATTTTATGATCTGATTACAAAATTCGTTGTGAGTGGAATGAGATCCTTGTCGATTACAATTACAAATAGAGACATTAACGATAGATCGTTTGAAAAAACTATTAGTGTAGAAGGGAAATGTGTCCAATTGTAAACCACAACCAAGTTTTGATCAACAAATTGTGAAACTGGATTATCATTGGTTCTATCTTGCATTTTCAAAAGTATTTTAAAATACTATTGTATTTTGAGTCTAAAATACTTTTATGGAACTATTTTATACTTGGTATCTAAAATACTTTCAACGAAGTATTTTGTATTTTGTATCTGAAATACTTTTTTCAAGTATTTTGCCCAACTCTGACTACAGTTGCCCGACTTGTTTATTTTGGGGCGTAGAAAGTTGCACGAATATGTATGGAATGAAATACTTCTTTAAATTCTTGTATCATTATACAAATATATTTAATTATCGTCAATCTGATGAATCATTTGTAACAACAGAGTCCTAAGAGAGTCCCCAGAGTCAACAGTTATGTCAACAGAGTCCTAAAAAGGTATCAATTGATATTGAGGGCACTTCCACACTAGAGGTGGTAACCTCGCAATACCTAATGTAGTTAGCCGATGTGGGGAGAAAATATTCAATGAAAATGGGCGAATCCTAAGAGATTTCTCTACAATGGATGAGATGAAAATAAATACCTACTTTAGAAATATATATTAATTAACGTCACATGAAATACAATTAAGAATCTAAGAGAACAATTTAATTATGATAGATGTCAAGGACAGACTATCATTGGAAATATAAATAAATCAAGGGTAAGATAAGGATGCAGTCTACATCCCACACTTTTTAATACATAGGTATTGATACGCTGAGAAAATGGAATCACAGGGCTCCTTTAGGAAAGGGCCTTTTGTTTCTATTTTCTACCCCGAAATTGAAAATATGCGTCTCAAATTCAAGGGGCCGCGACATCAGCCTGACCGATCGGGGAATATCAATTTTGATGAAAATCCTATCAACGGATTAGCCGCCAGCGTTGTTCACAGATAGTGTGGCGGACAGAAAGACGTTTTGTCGTTTACAAAATTTTCGGTGTCGGGAACACACAAAACATTCAAACTACACAACCTATGTACTAGAGTTACGCTACATATAGAAGCAAGAATAATTACCTATTTTTTCAATATCAGGGACCCATAAAACGAGATTTTCGATACATCTTTACAATACTTTCTCTTGACTGCGTGTGTAATTTGCGACAAAGAAAAGAGTAAGAATGGTATACAATGTGAAAATTTAATTTTTTGATAAAAGTACATTGTTTTACCATCACATTAATAAATCTTAAAGCGATCTCCGTAATTATTTTTTTTTTCTTTAACAATCAACTGAAAATGCTAGTAATCACTATACTAAGTTTGTATACAGTTCATTGGAAAATGCAATTCGAGTTATGCTTGTGACACGACTGTAAGCAGACGTCACTCAAGAGTTCCCCTGGTGGCGACCTAGCGCATTAGCGATAAAGCTTTCGGAACGATAACAGCTGTTTTGTTACGATCGCCGCTCTGTGGATACATGTGCAAATACTTATTCGACGAAATATGCTTAAACATTGTTGAATTGTCCGTTTTAAATTGTTCATGGTGTAGTGAAAACGTTTTTCGATTAAATTTTAGTGTATACTAATAATTACAGTACTGATACTTTCTTTATTATAAATGTTTCCCGACGGCCCCCCTTTGGGGGGGGGGTGATAATGAAATCTATGAGCGTGTTAAACAATGAGCTGAACAAGCCTCCCGACGTAATGAGCTCATACGGAGTACCGATTTCTTCACCACCAAATTTGACGTTATGTCCTACTACTGACGCTTCTGAGTTCACCGCAACATTAGAAGACAGTGCTTCAAGAGACATCAGCATCTTTGCAAGGTTAACCTACTATCAATCCCTCACCAAAGCGACATTTGTCTCAGTGGAACAACATCAACTTCATCCGTCACAGGAGAGTACATCAACAGAGTCAGTAAACATAAAAGAAAACGTTCTTGTAATGACTTAGATCCTTCAATATATAATGTGCCAATAACAAAACATCATGCGTTATGTGCGTGATGAATGCACTATTATTAAATTATTAATGTGATTAAATTCAAAAACAACCAATTGATCTTGAAGTGAAAATTCCGAAATTTTTGATCGTGTGTGAGATCTTTCAATTAATTCGTTAAATTCGTGAGATTGTCTTGCACGAAAGCAGACTTCACAACCCCAAACGACAAAAATTACGTTAAAATGACATTAAATAAATAAATAAAAATTAATCTCATAACTATAGATGACTTAAGAAGTTACAGAAAGACTTCTGATGAAAAAATGAACAATTTCACTCATACGGTTCTCCATTAAAATTCGCACATTTAACAAACAAAACGAATTTCTTGACAAAAACGAATTTTAGTTTCGTTTAATTTATAATTCATCTTTAAAAAATTTACCTAAATATGCTATCCTGTTTCAGATGTATACAGACTTTTTAATAAAACTAAACATCCTGTTGATATTTGCTCTATTGAACTTAATGACCATCGTGAAGCATAAAGTATATTAGTAATGAATCGCTTTTTACATTGTATTATTAATTTTCAACCAAGGGCTAAAATTAAATTCCCGATTCTTTGTAAATATCTGTCAAGGAATCTGACATCCTAAGGAAAACTGCAATATTTTGCTCAGATGTGTTCGTTGTCTCTATGGTTAGTTGTAATGGTAATCATAATTGATCGCTTTCAACGAAACCGGCTGGGTCACCTCCCATTGAGTTACTTACGACCAAAACTATTCTGCAAATTACCACAGTTTTCCAAAATTAAAAGAAAAATCATAACAAATCGATCTTAAAATATTAGAATTACCAATTTTCTAACATTTACCTCGCGTTTTTCCTTTTCCACGACTCCCCCGTTATTAACAGAAGGCAACTGGTTTGATGTTTAGCTCATCAAATCAGTGTTAATGTTACGAAATCGCCTCGTACTGATTTGATGGATTAAATCTTAAGAAGGTAAAATCCAAGCCAGGGGCTGCAACGTCGCCTCTCCAATCATCACAAGACTCATTTCTTTTGTTGTTTCAAATAATTTAAATGTATTAGCATATTGAGAACCAACCTACTAACCTTTCAACACTAATATAATTCCAGTTATATTGGATGTTATGTTGTTGAAGAACGTAGTGAAGCTCATTTCACAGATTCCTCTTTCAGAATTAGGGTCAGATCCCCACTCATTCGTCAAATCTCAATCGTATCATTTGGAATAAGTTCACTTAACTTTTGACCACTTACTTCTAATGTGCACAAAACTTAAAATATATAGTAAAAATTGACCAAGAGGTAGAAAACTGAATTCAAATAATTTCAAATTCAAATAAGCCGTCATACATAACATTCCGACGCTGTTAATTCTTTAACCAAGAAAGTAAATTATTTTTTTAAATGAAATTTATTAAAATATAAATATAACCAGAAACTGTATTAATAAAACACTGTAACTTAGTAAAAACTTAGAAAAAAAAGGAACTGTATTGTCAATTGATTCGCAGAGATGACATTAAAATAATGGTCAAAATGCATTCTTGAATTATCAGATTAAGTTCGGAACCACTGGCTTTGTCAGTCAATGGTTTACCAGTTTTGCGCATTTTACTTTCGTTATTAATATGTATTTTATTTCAACACTGAATGCTAGGTGAAACCGTGTTCAGTTGCAGCTTAAGTGGATTGTAATGTATGTACGTAACCACATTGCTAACTTTCGTAAGTTTTCAAAAATATTACAGAGACTTTTTTTGTAGGAATGGAGACTTTTTGTCAGTATATATGATATCGAGGCTTACACAAATATTGCGTAATTCTTACTCAGAACATTATGTTTCGGCACTTTTGTCCTCAACATCAGGTGTTTACTTGTTTAGTAATGTTTCGTGAGATTGATGGTGACTAGATAATGCTTAGTGTATACTTAATCAGTTTTAGTTTGTGTATTGGTTCCTTTATATAAGATTAAAATTACCAGTGAATCCCATCCAATAAACCCCATATCCTGAAAATGTTGGAGGTACGGTCCCCTCGTCAGAGAGTATATAGCCCTCGTCCCCCGCTGGTGACGCCCATGTTTTTGACAACACATTCTACAAAGTAGTTGTATCTTTCCAAAATTTTACAAAATGTCCAAAAAGGTATCGTGTAGATTGTGGCTTACGGAACATAATTACATAAACACAAAACTCCGATTTTGAAGGTCTAAATAGCAACCTCAGTTTCCATGATTTGCTCGATGTGTGTTGCAGCATAAATTTTTTGCGTGTTGCATGTTCGCCTACTTTCTCCCTACTCTGTATTCTTGGAACCTTCACTGGGCATCCCTATCCAGCACAGGTATTGGGTTTTGTTCAGATGGTGTCTTATAAAAATGGTATAAAATTGTCACATGTTTCTGTGAGGGGTTTTGGCACGCGGCATCTATTATTAAAATACCATGAACTCTTCAAATGTGATCGTGTAATCATGACTGCTAGCGTATTCTGTTAGTGTAAGAACGAGGTACATGCAGCACTGTCGAACAAAAATCTACACTGGTGCAATCTTACGGTCACTGTCTAAACTTACGTTTGACATGAGCTAGCAGCACTGACGGGTAGTGGGCAGTTTTATACGAATACGAATGGCTCGTTTAATAATTTACACGATTTCAAGGTAAACGAGTTATGGCAGCAATTTTACCAGATTCAGATAGTGAGGACGAGTTGCCACCTGCTTGGGAGGAGAGAACTACCAGTGATGGCAGCGTTTATTATGTGAAGTATGATTGAAAGTTTGCAAAATAATCTGTGTATTTGTGTTATCTGATCTGTCATCTTCCATTAAAGGAAATGATGTGCGAGATAGCTGTTTTTTCGTGTTTTTTTTTTTTTTCAGTCATTCAACTCATGGTACGCAGTGGACTCATCCTAGAACAGGAAAAAAGAAAATGGTCTCTGGAGGTGAGGGAAATAGTCATAACTTCAATTCACCACACACCATTATTTTTTTCATTAATGTATAAAAAATGTGACTTATTTTATTATGTGTATGTTGTATTTGGCGTAGAGTTCTCTAACCTGGTAATGACCTTGTAATACATTTGTATAGAACTGCCATTTGGATGGGAGAAGAGTATTTCTGAAGATGGAAAAATATTTTATGTTGATCATATAAATCGTCGAACAACATACACTGACCCACGATTAGCATTTGCTACTGAAGAAAAGGAGCATCCTCATGATTTTCGCCAGCGTTTTGATGGTTCAACAACTGCTTTACAAATTCTTCATGGGAGAGATCTCACAGGAAAGGTTGCTATTGTTACTGGTGCCAACACCGGTATTGGTATGTATTGTTTGTGATTCCTGAGAAATTAATAATAAAGACATAAACCCATAGAGCTTGCTCTACTTGATGACTTCAGGTTTTATTATAGTTTTCTGATTATGATATTAATCAGTAAATTGAAATGAACATAAATTATGGGCACATGCATCCAGGGAGAAACATTACGAGAGATTGCATGCCATAGACTTGTTTTCTGTTCAATCATGGTGAGGGGCAATTTGCATGCCATGAACTTTCTTTAGTGCTTATATTCCTTTTTGGGGGGTTGTCCTGTCATTGTGATGTGTTGATTTTCACAGTTTTTTGGTGTTGAGTTTTCTAACTTTGTTAGAGTTTGCTATTAAATTAATGAATAGTTGCAATATAACTTGACCTTTTCTAATTTACTGTATGCACCATATTAACTTCAATAAATCAATAAAAAAATTTGACACTAATGAAAATTCTGTGGAGATTTTAATTACAATCTGTAATATTCCCCGAGTGAATCCTACATGATTCGGGTATTTGAAAGATTTGACAATAAAACATGATTACTTGCATGGAAATGCTTTCAAAGTATAAACAAATGAATGTTTTGGTTTAAGGGGTTTATGTGTGTGATACATAAATGACAGAAACAAGGGATTCCTATGACCCAAAAATTGAGCAATTTTAATATCACAATACATGTACAACAAATGACAAGAAGAGAAAATTATAATATCAGAACAACTACAAATTTTGAGGATTATTGCATTCTGTATCTGATCACTTCACATGTATTAAATAAATTCATTTTGAAAAGCAAGAATTTACATTGTGTAATTAATAACCCTTGAGAATGGATGAATTTAATTTCAGACATTTCAAATAACTCAGAACATTTCTTGTAGGAGGAGGAGTGTGCAGAGAAGAGCTGGATGTGTCAAGGCTCCTCAGACTGTTAGAAGTGTGCCCATACCTTCAGTTTTGCAGAGCAATAATATTTTTATCTTTTATGATGAAAAAAAAAATCAAAATTCTTTGCAGGATATGAAACGGCACGCTCTCTGGCTTTCCATGGATGCACCGTTATTTTTGCCTGCCGAGATGTTGACAAGGCCCAAGATGCAATAGAAAAGATCAAAGTGGATCGACCACATGCTAAATGCAGTGTTTTGGAGCTGAACTTGAATTCGTTACTCAGTGTAAAGACCTTTGCTACTACTTTCAAAATTCAGCACAGGTATCTACCGTTTAAATAGTATTTACGGTTTTATTCTCTGTAACACATAACTAATAAAATTAATACTTTTGTTGAATTTTTTAAAACTATTTTATTTTTATTTCTTTCATTACTTTTGTGATTATTTTATTTTGGTTCCAATTAACTTCATTAACTTTTCATGGGTTTAATTTAAAGTAGCTGTTAAACAAGGGCTTCTGAACATGGACAAATTTTCTTCTGTTAGGAACATCTTTCTGATTTACTTCTGCATGTTCGGAAACTTCATTTATAAAAAAAAAAGGTTTTAAGTTGTTTTGATTGTGTAATTTACTGGAGACAAGTAAATACTTTCTTGTATTGATTTGTTCAATTCTGTGCTGTTGCTGCTTTAACATGTTGCTACCACATCTTTGGTTTAGGAAATTAGATATGCTAGTTCTTAATGCTGGCATATTTGGTTTGCCTTTTACCCTTACTCCGGATGGTTATGAAACAACATTCCAAGTAAATCATTTGAGTCACTTTTACCTGACACTTCTGCTGGAACCCACATTATCTGCTGGATCACGTGTTGTAGTTGTTTCTTCTGAAAGTCACAGGTATGAAGAATTAGAGAGTGATGATAAATTTAATGTTAATTAATGTGTTTACAATATGAATGTCTTGTCTTTAAAGGTTTTCAAACATTACCAGCAGTTCAATAAGTCAAAGTACTCTCTCTCCAAACTCTGCCAATCAGTATTGGAGCATGATGGCCTACAACAATTCCAAATTGTGTAATATACTATTTGCCACAGAACTAGCTAGGAGATGGGAAAGCAAAGAGATATGTGTTAATTCTCTTCATCCTGGAAATATGGTCAGTACTGACCTAAGCCGTTACTGGTGGTTTTATAGACTGCTATTTGCTTTCGTACGACCCTTCACAAAATCTCTGGTAAGATTATTTACCTTTTTATCTTCCTGATTTACTGTCAAGAAGATGCAATGTTGGTTGTTCATAATAAACATGTATGCTGCAAGTCCCATTTGGTCATCTGGTAGTTCTGACAAATGCTGGAAAGGCCATTTGAGGAAAAGAATTCTGTTTAGTTTAATTACTTTTTTCTACAAAATGAAATGAGTGTAGCATATACATATTTGTTACGTTTTTATTCATTCTAGTGCATGTGAAAAAAGCTTTTTAGTTTTCACCACAGAGCAGGTGCATCTTTTTCTCCGACATTATCAGACATGCAGTGAATTCCGACCATCACTGTTATTTTGAATTACAGATTAATTCACTAGCAAATTATCTTATAATATTTTTTGATTGATTCTGTGATTACCAGGAATGATTGTCATACCTAATAGAAATGATAAAAATTAATTATTCATGGATAAGTTATAAAGTGTAATATAATCAAACATGAAATGCAAAAATAATCATGAAGTGATGCTACTTATGAAATAATTATCAGAGATTCCCAACATTCTAAGTAGATTGCATATACATTTTCACACTAAAAAATTAATAGCATATGAATGGTTTTTACAAAGTTAAAACACTCTTTTTTAAATTTCACTAATTTAAGGTCGCTCTTCAACTACTAAGGTCATATAGTGACCACAGGAAGTAACATTGGGGGTTACAGTATACACACACAAACCACCCTGCCCAGGCGAGATTCGAATCTGTGACCCTTCAGGCACGAGGCAGCTATGTCTCTTCAGACTCAGCAACTGTGGCTATCCGGCATGTACTTCTAGAGACGGGAACTGTAGGCACTACAAATCTCTAAAATATAGAGCGGAAAAGATACTTAAGACTGCTAAGAAAGGCAAAATAAAATCAATTCTTTTTAATAATCAACTCACAATTACAGTTTAATTCAGCAGGGTAGAATATGGATTTCACAGCAGTTTCAATAAAAATAAGACAAACAACTGAGATGATATAAATTTTTAGTCCACAAGAATTATAGTCCATTGTAAAAGAAATACATATTTTATTGAGTTACAATATTATACAATTTCATTCTGTAGCTAATGCTACACAAATATAAATCTACATTATTATTTTCGGTATATTCTTGATTGGTCTACAATATTTTCAATTTGACATTGATTTATAATATACATTTTCCTAATAAGTTATCTGATTTGTCTACAACCATCAGCAAGTTATAATAAGACTATTTCATTGACTCTTTGATCTTTTTTTGTTGTTTTGAAAAGGTAGCTGAGATCAGAAATTAGTTGTTTTTTATTTCATGCTTAGAAGGAAAACAATAATTCACTGATATCATTGGCAGATAAATATTTTTTCTGACTTCTGAACAATAATAATTTACACACTATTTTTCTCATCAATCCTGTCTACAATGTGACATTACATGGTGGAGTAGCAACAAAATCTGTTTATTATTTCATTTTTTTAAATTTGTTTTCAGCAACAAGCAGCTGCAACTTCTGTGTATTGTGCTACAGCCATTGATTTGGAAAATGTGTCTGGATTGTATTTTAATAACTGTTGCCGATGTGAACCAAGTGCACCTTCTCAAGATCCAGACTTGAGTAGAGTACTTTGGGAATTGAGTGAACAAATGATAGAAAATGTAATGGGAAAAGGTGCTTTTACCATAATTCAGGAACAGGAGGAAAAATAAAAGTTGACTTATCCCTGGTTTTATGCCTTATTTAATATGCTTAATTTTTGTATATACTCAAATGAATATGAATTATTACATTTTTATCTTTGATATGGCATTGTATTATTTTCCCTTTCAGAGGTCATTATTTCAGTACTCTCCCTGTTTCTCCATAGGACCTCTGGTCTTTTTATGGCAATTTTGCAACCACATAAAATACCTTTGGCATCCCTTTCATTTTTAATAACCGTAAGCTGCCCTAAGGTTTCAGGTTGGGGGAATGGCCCTATTTTAGCTGGAAGAAGGAGAAAACACTTATTCTTCCTTTCAGAAGTCATTCATTCTCATTTCATTAAAATTTGTATGGACTCGTGTTTAAAAAAGATTTACCAAAATTGTCATTTTAGGCAATTTAAATTCTTTATTAATTGAATACGAGAGTGGAAAAACAGCACTAGTCTAGGGAGTTACTTTTGATTAGACATAACACAAACTGTTTAGATTGAAACAACTTTCTTAATTTAGAAAAGTCAAGCCAGACGAATATGTTCTGAGGAATAATTGCGATACAATATGTATTAATAACGTGTTACAGTTTGAACAAAAAACCGGACTTGTACTATTTTCATCTCGACCAAGATTTACCAATCAAATTTCTTGCAAAATAACAATGTACCACACAAATGCCACATTTTATTTTTGAAAGAGTACATAAGTAATATAACTTGGGGTCATTTGTTTTCAGGTTGAAAATTTAAGTAAAGCCCATATACTAAACCTTTTCCTTTTCAAGCATGTTTTGTAAACAGGCTGTGTTTTGACATTCAATTCACATTGCATAAACTTCACAGAATCTGATGAATAGAGTGCAATTTTCTTAGGAAAGGATTCTGGGTGCTCTTTTATTTTAACTACATTTTTGTGTACAACAGCTTGAGGACTATTATTATGCTTTCCTCTTCCATCTTTTGGAGACAGACCTGACAAAAGAATTCCTGTTAGTCATTGAACCTGAGTATAAGTTCATGAATGCTTACTTACAAGCTTGACTGAACACATTCTTTAAATGCAAAATAACAAAAATTTCTGGCTGTTTGCTTATTCTTCCCCTCGCCTCTCGCTCATGGTTCATTACATGCACACTAAATCAGCCAGTAAAACAAGTAATTTACATCAGCCCTGGACCACTGGCAAATAACAAATGTGAACCGTCCGCTGCAAGCACTCAAGCCAAATTGCCAGACACCTGAAATCCTGAGTGTAAAAGCAGTACATGCTCAGGACACACAAGAGGAGGAGCTGCCTGATTTGAAGTCAAATGACCTTGTACTGAACTGTGTTTAGTCTGAACATGAAGTTTAACAGAATGCCTTCTGCACTAATTTCATAATAAAAAAAACAACTAATTTTTTACTTGTTCTTTTTCTCCGTTCACACATTCAATTATTTTTGATAGTAATTTACTATTATTATGTAATAAATATTTGTTTAAATTTTATGAAGATTTTCTTTTAATTTCCAGGTTTCAAGCCTTCTAGCAATAAGTGTGCAGCAATTGAATACACTTAATAATATAATAATAATGACTGTAGTTACTTTGTTATGTAATAACATAGCATGTGCAACTACTGTATTACTTTATTTCATTTGTACAAATTTCAAAACTCACTTGTTTTCAAAATATAGTGCTAGGTACAAAAAATTATGTTGGTTACACTAGTTGTAACATGTAACAAAAGAAAATGTATATTGCATACTCACCACGATCATAAAAGATGTTGAAAGTGTTTGCCCCTTCACTTGTACCCAGATAATTAGTTGATACCAACATAAATGCAATATTTAATACAAAGCCTTGATTTGACTCCTTACAGAGACTTTCCTGGTGCACTGAAAATTAATTGCATAATATACAATTTTTTAAGGTAAAGTAAATTGTCTCTGTTATTCTGCATGTCTTGAACAGTCTTGTTTGCAATGCTTTTTGCTACACTTACCTCTGTCTCATTCTTTGATCAGATTTCATAACCTACTTTATTAGTGGGGCATCTTGAAGCCTGTCTACATACTTCCCCATCCATTGCATTGGGCCAGGCGGCTTCAAATTGTCTGAGGCCTCTTCCTCCTTCCTTACGGGACACAAAAAGTCTACTACATCAACTCAAGAGTGGGCGACAGGATGCTTTATAAGCAGTTTTCTGGTTTTTTGATCTAGAATTCAAATTTCTTACCCTGACCCGTTCACAAGCCCAAAACTATTAGGGTACAGGCACCGCCAAAATACCTATTGCAGATAATTTATTATTGGAGTTCAGAGCAGACTGTTGGACAAGTCTCACTCCTCTATAATACTCCCTGCAAATTCTCTCTTTCATTGGTTCGTTTGAGATGATCTCACATTCTTCAATGCCTAGATATTTGCAGGTTTTACCTGGCTCAAGATTTTGAATCATAGTGTGCATATCAACTTGTTCTTCAATGTCCTTTTACCTCTTTCAAGTTGATTTATGCTCACTTATCAAGACCAAACTTCATGCACATGTCATTGCTAAAATTATTGATGACAGCATTTGGGAGATTATCGCTTCATTCTTAGCAACCATCCATCTAAGGCAAATGTCATACTGGCATTACTCGCGCAACTTTTCTTGAACGATAACCTTGCTTCCCCCTCTTTGGCACAATGAACAGATGAAGGCAAAAGCTCGCAGCGAGCACTAATGACAATATTCCAAACACATCTTCACTGGCGCGAAATAGAAACAATTTTCTTTTGAAGGAGAACATTTCTTTTCGTCCATGGAGGTACGGAGTTGTTTACTCTGGCGGCCGGTCGTTGATTCTTGACTGGCCCCAAAATCATATGAGATAGCAGGTATCCAGTGCATACACGATGCGATTAATTTCAGTAATATGTAGATCTCTACGCGGAGTCTATACAACCTCATTTAAGACAGAATTCGCTGCCTCTATCACTCAGTATTAGCATTTTCGTGTATTCTCCTCAACGGTGCATGAGATTGAATGGAGATAGACGAACTCGTTCTATCTCGCGTCGAAGAAGGTTCTGCATTTAGATTTAGTCAAAAAAAACTGTATATGACGTATGGGGTAGAAGATCATCTGCGCAGGTTTTTTTAAGTTCCAGAATTACTTCCCAACATTTTAACTACAAATAGTTAAAAGATGAGTAAAAGTATAGACAAGTAAATGAATGGATAAATAAAAATATTTTTTTAAAAAGCGAGAGATTAGCAGCATTTGAAAAACTAGAGATTTTTGTTACAGAGTTATAGAAAACATTAGCAATGATAAACGAACTGCAGATTTGATTTTTCTGCATTTCTAACACAATAGTAACTCGCCCTTGCCTCTATTCCTACCACTACAAGCAACAAGAGAGTTCAACAAAATGTGCGCATGGTGAAGCTACTTTTACGTCCAGAAGCAAAACAAGGGACCATCTCAGCATATGCTTAATGTATCCGGGAAACTGGACAAAAACCTGATCGAGATGGGGGGTCGTGCCCGCATCATGTTCTTATGGTGTGATTGATAGCCAGATGAATTTTAACCACTGGCGGATATTTCACTGCGAAGAGAAGAACCTTGGAGAGTTCCATGGTTTTCAGGTATTCTGTATAGTTTAAATGTTCATGTGGATTGTTCGATCGAAGAACATTATCCGCATTTCTCTCAATGTTTGCAAGACATTAAGATGTGAATTTTTCACTGCTGAGTGTGTCATAGTTGACTGGCAAGCTTCTTTGAATTTACTGCAAATCTCATATTTGGGTTCCGCTCTCTCCATATCTTGAAAATGTCTATTTCTGAGCTCGTATTTTCAACTTTTGCGCAGTAAAAGCACCTCATCACCTCCTTTCAATCATCTCGTGTCCATCTCTGATGGAGCTATTGCCGACTCTGGCAATAGGACTAGGACTAACATCCGTGGGATAGCCAGACGTCGGCAAGGAGGCGTTATGTCGATTTCTGAGCAGGGATCGGACACTGGTAGAACAAGGCACGTTAAGATTCATTATATTTCTTGTACTATCCATTTTGCTAATTGGTTTTGTCGAAAAGTACCGCTGTGTATTGCAGCTGTTGTAGATGAGTGAGCAATTGCGCATCCTATCAGACTTCAGCCAGTGAGCTTCTGGTGGACAGTTTGCGTCACAATATTAGCGGAAATTTTAAAAGCAGCCAGATACCAAAATTATCACCTTGATACAAGTTATTGAAGCAGTTACATGATGCATTTCTTTTAAATTTTGAGTCTTGTACACCTTCATCGAGATACTTTCGGTTGGTCACCGTTGAAAATTGTCACTTTACATCACTTTCAAGCTGGGCTGTTTTCACAGCTTTGGGGACCCGCTATTCTTTCACCAATCTCCCCCCTCCCAATTTAAGGTCAAATTTGTTAAAAAACTAAACTTCTCATCACTAAGTAACACTCTTGCATCAACCAGCAACATTCCATGTTATTTCAGTTATCCATTGATGCGCGGTACAACACTCCTTATATCAATTTGTTTACTTTTTTCTTTTCTTTTTTGAAAAATTTACTATTAAACATGTTTTTCAACTATCGGGGGCCCTTGAACATTGGGGGTCCTGGTCAGACTGTAGACTTTGTGTATCCAACGAAGTGCCCGTGCTCTGGTGACGTGGTTCGTGACGCAAACTGATACAGCGCAAAACGAGCAAAAATCCGTGCACCGGTGTAGCCCCATCTTTTTCCACTATGGTCTGTGTGCTTTTCATTTTAATGGCTGTCATGCCATTTTCATGTCAGGCTGTCATTTTAAATATATAGATAGATACTCAGTCACAGATATTGCATTAATCCCTCTCTGTAAATGTTTTAAATAATTATTTGAAGTGTACATCAAAATGCACCTCGTGTGATAATTACAGAGGGATACTTGGATCTATTCCATAACGATATGTAGATAATAGTACTTACCATTTAAGTACTATCAGCTAACAATTTACTGAGAAATATGTAATTAATTAAGAAATTATTCCCTCATGGCTATCGGATTCTAGAATTTTAAATCGATTTTTACTCTTAGTCTCCATCTTTATATTATACTATTTTCTATAGAAAGTTAATTGGAGTAATTTAGGAATCAAAATTAATAAACTTAATACGATGGCTGGCAATTTCCTAACTAACTGACTGATATTTGCACATTAATTACAAGGACTTCCAGCAATTCCGACATACGCCCCACGTTGGGCGCCATTTAAGGAATACAATGAGTTTCAAAATTTAATAAAACTGTTGCTGAAAAAGCATGAGCTTCATGAGTTCTTTGAGAGGATTTCATCTTTTTTTTTAAAGAAGTAGGTTTCAGTCCATTGCTTAGAAGAGTTATAATTTAATAGTTTTGCTTTAAGAATATTTAATTTTGAAATCTACTTCTTTTTAACTAATTTTGCTTTATTTATGTATTTGCTGAGGGACGTCATGGTGACAGACATCAGACAGAGGCATCACTTTATAAAAATACAAGCCAATGTTGCAGTTACAACAGAAATACAAGTACACTTGGTTCTACTTCACATTTTCTGTTGCTTGATCTGATGTATATGTTTTAAGAGAAAAAGTATTGCATTGGGAAATACATTTTACATGCCCCAGGGTTGTTTTCAATGTATTTGCTGAGAAGGTTGGCAAATTTTTCCCTTTTGAAACAATTTATGATTGTTTCAAAATTTGTCTGGTGCATTACTTTCATTTTTGTCTGTTGATAAGATATAGAAGTGATAACACAAGCATTGGAAATGAGTTTGCATTCTAGTGGTAGCTACACTGTAAAACATTGTGCATAAAATGGATTTTGTTTTTCATCTTTAGTTGAATGCAAAATTATTAGAGTTCATCACAGTCGGTATTAACAATATTATTGTTCTTCAATCATTACATTGTTGCTGCCATTAAACTATAATTTATTAATATCCTGTATAAATTGTATGTATGCCTAATGATACGCACAAGTTCTGCTGCTTCACTTATTGTCTGGAAACAAATGAAATCTCGGCATTCTTTCTAAGAGTTGTTGGGTAATGGAATGATGAATCATAATGAAATGAGAAGTACTCAATAGTTTTCACTACCACAGTTTACATGTTTTTAACATTTGCTTGAATATCATTATTGACTTCTTGAGCACTAAAATCAATTCCATAAACAGTGAATTTGGAAATTATTTTCCAATTAGTGCAAAAATAATTTAAACATACATGAAAATTATGGAATAATAAATTAATAAGAAAAGTTTGTTTTAAAACAATTGAAAAAGTCATAATAAAACAAAGAACTAGACTATTTATTCATAAAACGAAGTAGGTACTTTCATTTGAAGCCGTAGGTCACACGGCAAAGTTCAACAACAATGAAGCCCAGATGGAGCTGATCGAATGGAAATTGAATTAAAATGAATCGCAATCATGTGCTGCAGCGTCATTTAGTAGTTACAACAAAATTAACAACACAAAAATTCTTTCGTGAAAAAACACGTAATGTGACATCTTTTATGGAAATCGAGCACATGAATCTACCCTGGTTCTACCGCACCGTTGCTGGCCTCTGGCGGAAGATATTAGGAACCTGTCTCATAGAGACAGTCGAAAAATGATTGTGGTGCATCTACCAGTATATTATTTTAATTATTTATATTCTTCATTTGTGTTGCATTAATCTTTATCAAACTTTGCAAGGACAATACGTCAAATCCTGAAGAAGAGCCTGTAAACATTTCGTATCCACTCACACATTCCTTTTCGCGGAATCGATGCCGATTATTTGTTGAATTCATTTTTATTAATATAGATTTAACATTTTTAATTTAATACACAAAAAATTGGTTGGGAGTAAAGAATTGGTTAAAGTACATTTATTTTCCAGTAAAATATAAACATTTCAATGATAGAATGACTTAATATGTAATTTCAAGTGCTATTGCTAAGCAGTGGTGTAAGGAACTTTTTTGTTGCTTGGTTGAATTGTTATTGCCAGCAAACTCTTAGTAGTGGATAATAGTTAATAAATTATTTGTGATGTTCATCGAATTATTTTATTTCAATGAGAAATATATTTGCAGTGTGTGAAAGCTCAATATGGTTAAATATAACATGACTGTCAGTAACAGACATTTTTGATATATCGAAGCACGTTTTCATTCATTTTAGTAGTTTGTAACACCAAATGGATTTCTGATCACTTTAATAGATGGTAGAATCACTTTGATAGATGAAAGAAATATTTCTTTCTGAAGGCACTTTGAGATATCAAGTATTTTCTTATTAGATATTTTGATTTAGTGTTGATTTGATGGAAGTAACAATATGAATGTTGTGAATGTGTGATATCTTGATCTTTTTTTCTAAAATTCGTATTTGTCAAATTTTATGACTTAGAGAATTTATATTTATTCCCTTAAAGATAATGTACCATTGTTTTTCTGATTTAATTTTAATTAATCTGTAATTTTATTTTATTGAGTTGTTTGTCATTCTGAATCATCTCCATGTCAGGGTATCCTACAGAATCCAAAAATGAATTGTAAATTACCCTAGAAGAACAGTACATTAAAAAATACTGCCATAGCAAATTATTCAGTTATAGTCGGCTATGATACTGCGCATCTAATTGGTGAAGATATCTTACGTCAAACCCACGCCAAACATGGTCCCCCCCTGGTCCCTACTACCGCTCATTTTATCACAGCCACCCGTTCGAGCGCAGCACTAACGCTAGTCGCGAAAATTAAGACGTACGAGACTTAAGACATAGTTAGCCAGCCCCGAGAAGAATGGCTATGTTATAATTATACACTGTGAGATTCATAATATATAAAAATTCGATTGAAATGTCCGTGACAAACTTTCAGATTCATCGTACCTTCCGTGTTATAAGACGTCATGTGCATTCATGTCCAGTAATGTGTAAATCTGTGAATAAACAGGCTAAAACGATGGCTAAGTTGATGACTGCTTCATATCGTAAAAAGTGTGCACTTATTTTATAGTATTATTACCATTATTAGAATGTTGTATTACGAAAATGCATTTTCATATTTTGCAGAAAAAGTTGGTATAGCGCAGAAATCATGTCAAACATACCTTTATTACCTGCAAATAAAAAATTCCAGGAAGGTGGTACCACCAAAAGGCGCGTTGATGTTCTCAACAAGCTCTTCATGAGATCTATCACAGACTTGCTGGCAACCGGGGAAGTGGCACCTTATCTGATAGGGCATGGGGTGTCAATTACAAAAGTTTGTTTTGAATTTCAATTATAAACGGTCAAATTTGTTAATATATTTGCATATTTTTCTTCACTTGTGTTCACACTCAATATATTTGTGATAGGTAAAGGTGGCCGCTGATTACAGTGCAGTAAATGTATATTGGACTGCTAAAGGGGCAGGACAAAATGTTGACGTAGACAAACATTTGGAAAAGGCTGGATTTGATTTACGCCATCATCTGAGTCAGTTGCACATATTGGGAAAGGTTCCTAGGATTTGTTTCATCAAAGGTACTGTTAAATTTAAAATGAATTATGGATTGTAACCAAGGCCATTTTGTAATTATACACACACACACATATCTACAAAAATATATGTTACCATTTGCGCGATAACAGTATGATAGTTTTAGCTCACACGATCTGGTGTTGAATGAAATGTTGAGTTTTTGTGAAGGTGGTGTGATGTAGGACTCTTGAAAACTAATATTTTTTATTTAATTGTATAGATTTGTTTGTTTTCGTTTTAACATCATCGAATGAACTAATAGTTACCATTGCAAAGTGGAATTGAGAAATAATAGTTCAGTGATTATTTGTTATTGATCGTTGTATTGCATTGAATCACTTATATAATGCTTCTTTTATTATTAGACCAGAATCTTCAGTAGAATGTAACATTTATTATAATAAATACCACGGTTTATGATAAAAAAATTGTTTTATTTGGAACTATTTAAATAAATTAAAAGAAATAAATAAAATTATTTGTTTGACAAAGATTTGAGAAAGAGGGCTCACTCAAAAAACGAAACAATAGCAACTTATTTTGTATAAAAATTTTGATTTTTGTAGTTAGAAAAAGTTAGTAAAAATCAGTCATGAAACTCCTTTTGAATATTTTACAGTTGTAGAGAAAGTATAGTTGCTCTTAATGACTATTATTCACTTGTAGAAATTACAATAGTCATCACTGCTGTGTGCTGCCACACAAAATTGCCCTGTGCTGTAATAAGAGCAGTGTGGTGAAATTGTTTTAATTCATTGCTACCTGATTTATATATTTTGGACAGTTTTTTTCTCTGAAAATTAAGTGAAAGACAAAATTTTTACATTATTTCTTTTTAATGTTTCTGAAGAAATTTGAAAATAAGAATTATGTTTTACTCATTTTGCCTGCATATATTCATTAATACTACATTTACATCCTCTAAAAAATCAAAAATTATTTCTTGAGAGCTTTTAGATGTAGTGGAGTAAATATGTTATAAGATGCCATTTTTCAGAAATCGACAGTGAAGTTAAACCTTTTAACTTGTCATGATAACAAATTTGTCCAAGTTAATATCATGAGATAAAGTTTTGCAGTGCATGCAACATTAAGAATGAATATTACTCTATCAAAACCCCAATCTTCTAGACGGGATCATACTAAAATACTATAACCATAATTAGATGAGAAAGTATTATACTTTATTACAAAATGACTGAAACCCAGGGTATGTTTATGTTCTCTTTCGTCATGATTAAAGGGTAAATACATGAAAAATAGGGTGGCATTGAATTAAGTTCTTCTACTTTCATAATTATGAACCACTCAAAACGTTTGACAGAACCTTGTTATTTTTGCCTTAAATGAGTTTACCTTTTTATGTGTGAAATTAATTATTTAATAGTATGATTTGATTGTTTTCCAATCAAATATTTATCTTGATTGTTCATGTGTGTAAAGTCAAAACGTCTATTTCTAGTGTATCTTTGCATAGTTTTATACAATTGAACTTTTTTATTTCAGATAAATGGCAAATCATTATAGAAGAGACACTAAATTGTCTTGAGAATACCGAAATTAAAGATGATTTAGAAAATTTTGTAGTAAATACGAAATTGGAAGATCCTCAAGGATCAGAAGAATTGGTAATTAATGTTAAGTTGTGTTAATGTTAATATTGTTTAATATCTTTTATGTTTAGAATTTTCAACATGAACTTATTTTGTAGGCTAAAATTGATCAACTTGAAGGCCTTATTGATGAATATCCATTGCCTCCTATGATTCATAACGTTCTTGGTTTGGATCATGCTGCCATAATGACCAAGGTATTTGAGGTTTTTATATTTAAATTGAATTTAACGATATAGATAGCCATACCATTCTTTAGTCATCAACAAATCAGGAAAGACATCACTTAGAGAAATTTTTAAAAATTGCTTGGCAAATCAATTTGCTAAAAAGATATTTACCTATTCGTTTCATGCAACATGTAACCAGTCTGTCACATTTGATACAAGAAATTCTTTACAGTTTCTCACAAAATTTCATAACTTCCTCTATTCCACAGCATTTCTTACTATGTATATTACTCCGTACATATATGTATACGAGAAAGTAACAAGAGAGATCCTCCCTCGTCATTGTAAAAGTCCATGCTTTTGGTTTTACCAAAAACATCAGAACTTAAAGTGATTACTTTTAAATGCCTTAGGAGTGAAATGGGCTTGAGAACTTTTGTATACATTTTTACTACTCTTTTGATTTTATTTTTTTTTGCAGATTGAAAAAGCTGTTAAAAAGTCTGAAGCAAAACACAGACAAAGTTCTTTAAGTAGTGATTCCACGACTCACCTGGAACATAATGTGACAGACGTCTTAGGGAGTAATAATGATGTTCATCCTTCTGATGTGACCAAATATATTGCAAAACGAAGGATTGAAAAGAAGCAAGCCAAACAAGCTCTTCATAAACAAATGATGGCAAAGATGGAAGTGTTTGAAAAATCCAAAGATGAAGAGTATATTGACACTGAAGATGGTGATTTCATTGAAGAATTTGATGTGATGAAACATTACACAGAACTCAGAGAGTAATAAGTAATTTAGCTATAAGCTCTCCTTTGAACACTCATGCCCTTTGGTGCTACACAAACACTTGTGGGGTGGCAGATGGATTTTTCATATTTATTGCGCAATTTTTTAAACAGATTTTTTTCAAAATATTGTTTTCAAATTTTGAAGAAGAACTTTCCATATTACAAAATTGATACAACTTGCTTAAACATTTTTCCAATTGTAATAAAAAATCTTCGTATAGCAGAAAACTCCACTAAATTAAAAAACGTCTTTTAGTAACTAATCTCAATAATGTTTGAAACAGTTGTTTACATAGTTAAACATTAGAAATAATTTGGGAACAAACAACTCTTATAAGTAACAGTAATCACAATGTTTGTATTTGTTGATCCCGATGCATTGATGACCCTTCTTCATGGACCTATATCTTTTTGAGAGTCTTGCACTAAAATGTACTATAGGCAGGATTTTTGACACTATCTTCATAGCTAAGTTGAATTCAACTGCTATCTGAAGGAGAATTTTAGCATCTGGCAGCTCTGATTGGTAATTTTCAGTGTTTTTTCTGATCAACAGCAGGTGAATACCAGAGCAGTACCCTAACAAATAGGTCATAGACCGTGCGTGATCTTTCCTTCCCCTACCTTGTCCTCTCCTCACCCCTTACTAACACACACCTACTCTCTCCTACACTACACAACCATGCATGTCAGACCTTAGAGTTTGTCCCGACTGGGGCAGTACCCTTCTGATGGGAGATACCTTGTTGGGAAAAAAACCACAAGTGAACATGTAGGGCGGTGCCTGTTTTCACCATCCAACAGGAAGATCAGTGCAACCTCCCATGATGCAAACATGCACTGAACTTACAGGACTAACGATCTTAGCTGTTGACATGACTGAAAACACTAATCAATCAATCTAAAACTAGAGAATCATGATTGCTTACTCAAGCTGTTGATTCCAATGCAGAAAAAGAGCAGATTTTTCAAATTTGCAGCCAATTGCCAGTTTGAGTGCTCAAAGGCTAATTTAACCTTTACTTCAGGAAGGATTACAATACGGATTGGCTCATTCTATACATATTCTTGAAGTTTAGTCAAAAGCGCACAAGTGAAATAGTCTAATTTAGTACCTTGCATGTTTGTTCTGATTCTTATCTTTGTGGTCATACTGGTAATTTCACAAAATTTTGTTGACGTGTTCTTAAATTGATAATAGAAAAATATTTTGCTCAGCTTCTTTAAAAGTTATTTCTTCTATTTAATTCTTAGAGGAAGTGTAAGAGGATTTCTATAATTTCTGCTATTTAATTCTTAGATGAATGTAAATATTTCTGTAAATAAAACTTTGTATTAAATGTGGTGTTTATGTTTTATTTCAATTCTTTTAAATCTGCCTTGCTTGTGCTCTTCATCAAATATCTTGTCTGCCTGTGTTATTATTATTTATTTTTACTTTCTGGTATAAGTACATAAATACAGAGAAAAAGTTACGTAATACTGTGGAAAATTGATTTCAACAGAAATACATGTTTTGCCTGATATCAGAACCTGATAACGAAAAAGTGATTATTTTTTTTCAAAACGAATGTCTGTCTGTCTGTCTGGTATATGTAAACAACACAAGCACCTAAACGATGCGTAGGATTTTTTCTAAGTTGAAGAATCCCTTGTCGATTTGGCTCGAGTCAAAGCTCCGATTTAGAAAAACATTCGGTAATTTTTGGGGGTTTTGCATGTAGCCTGTCATGTAAACTTAATTCATGCATATAAACTCAATTCACTCTTAATTTTTGAACATTGTATGTCAAAAAATATGAATTTTTTTGGCATCTTCCTAGAACTACATCATTAAAGAAACAAGATTTTTCCTTGGATGAAATTTGTCGTTATTTCTTTCATTAAGGCCAAGTACATTTTTTTTTTTTTAATTGTAGCTTTCGCACAATATTGCATTTACAAGTATACAATACAATACAATTGTATATACAAGTTCTTTTTTTTAAACTTTCGGTAGGAATAGTGCAAAATGTACTCTATAAGATGACATAAAAGCCATATTGCTCTATTTTGTTTTTTCAAAAATTACAAAAATGTAAGTTTTTTTACTTGTCTCTCATATCAGTAGCATTTATATTAATGGTGATTTGTTAACATTATATTTATAAGTACGTGTGTTTTAAATAATGTCATATAAAGTTTCTAGAAAACTCATCAGTTTTCTATGAAAATTAGCTTAAAAGTACACATTTTCAGAAATACTAAAATGCAATGTTCACAAAAATGGCTCCAAATTTTTTCTTCAAACTTTTCCAAGGGATAGTGCCAATTGCCCTGTTTAATATGACAAAACTTTGTACTGGGGGTATTCTTCTGTTTTTTTTTTTTTTAATTACACAAATGTAATTTTTTTGAAATTTCTCTCATGCCGTTAATGTGCAAATTTCCAGTGGTTTGTAAACACTTCTGGATTTGTGAGTTATAGTGCTTCAAATAAATATTTTTTGAAAACTCAAAAATTTTCTATAAAAAAGAGCATCATGTTTTGCATTTATAGTAACGCTTACTTGCCATTTTCTTGAAAACTGGTCCACAGAAAATAGGAAATTAATACAAGAAAGTCTCTGTCATTCTGCTGCACCACTGGTTTCTGTATTGTAAATTAGTTTGAAATATTAATATTTCTTAGAGAATTTAATGAGTAATCAAAGTATAAACATTATTTAGTCCTGTGTAAAGAGATGTTGTGGCACTTAAGTACATTCTAATGAATTATTCTGTAATCTTTCTGGAGAGAACCCAGAACATACACAAAACATGGGGAAAACATTTAAAGTTCATTCTATATTTTCCTTCTTTTACTGAAATATGACAGTAATCTTATTATTAAAGTATAGTTAGGTATATATGTATAATGATTCATCAACAACTGTAATGTTCAATCATGAGAGGTTGATAGAAGCTGATTTGCAGAAAAACTTCCACTTATAAGACAAGTTTTATTTTCAGTATCTTTCTGGCTGCTCATCTTTGAACCAAACAAAATATAGTTATAACTCTGAGCTACGAGTGTTGGGAGTAAAATAAATCAAAGGGAAATTTAGGGCATGTGTGCTCTAAGTGCTCCCTGTGCAGCATTGCGAGCACAAATGTCTCAGGGCAGCATACAGTCACTGGGTCATGCAGGAGAAAATGCATCAGCTGCAATGTTTCGTATATGTGAGCTGCCTCACATGTATTTCCTCTGAACCCTGTTTTAATTTTATTGTACAATTAGTTAGCATATTTTATAACTTTAAATTAATATCAAAATTTCATAGTACAATGCACAAAAGCAGATGAATAATATTTCAAAAGATGGGACAAAGTTGAAACTAAATGAGCAGATTAATATTCGGTAGTGAAGTTGTTCATAATTGATGGGTTGAGTAATACACCATAATTGAAACCATTAATACATTAGGAATTTATATACCTTCAAATTGTTGGTGTGAGAAACTTCATAATTAAATCAGAATTCCTGCAAAGACTTCAAAAAATACAGTAGAAAAATACATCAATTAGATTCTAATGACTGGTTTTAAATAGTGTGACATACATTTAGATCCTAGAAGTCACTAGACTGTTTGCACTTCCTGACTCTAGATGTTTAATCACAACTAACCTCAATGTCAAAAAGAACTGCAATAAATGAATATTTTTAAATTTCAGGTTGGAGAGCAGATATTAGATCATGCACACAATGAACTAATCCATGAAAAATTCAAATTAAGAATAAACACTAGTGCAGAAGATAAACTAGTAAGTAACATTAAAGAACTGCTTCTAAATGAAGAATGGGTAGAAACACAAAACAAAAAGTGGACATTTTTCTTTAAATTAATAAAAATCTTTTGTTAATTTCAATTCGACATGCTTCCTTGGTAGTAAAACATTGAATACCTATTCAAAAGAATAACCAATTACAAGAATTAGTAATAAGGCTTTTTTAAAATTTGTAATTATAATTAAACAAAAAAATGTATCACTAAATTTAAGAAGTATATTGGCATCGGATAAAAACAAAACTTTTATGAACATTTCTATAATTACCAGATACATTCTTTGTAGAACTGATTTCAAAATTTGTAAGTGGTAAAAGATAAGTTCTTATAAAATACTGTGACTGGTAATCTATAATGTGTATTGTTGAAGATGAATTCATTCCATTTAGACAAAGATAATATATTTTTAAACTGAAACTGAAAAGCAAAATGTAGTAGAACTCCCTGATTGACAATTTTCATTTGAAGTTCAGTTTTATGAATTGTTTACAAGATTATACTGCATTTTCAAATCAGCAGATCAAAAAAACATCTGATCTTAGAATGGTTTGTTCTCCATGATTTAGGTGTCTTGCTACTTTTGCAGTCTAATTATTGTCATATTCTTTGTAGCATCTCTTCAATAATTTTACGCAAATCAACTACCTATTTCTGATTTTGAAGAGGAGAGAAATTGGAAGTCAGCGGGGTGATGAAACTGAAGGAATTATAATTGTTGCAGCCGACATTTGCTAGAATAATTATGATTCCAAGTAAGCAAATAGAAAAACTTTCAAAGTGATAGAATATTATATATAATATTACCAATGTGTAAAAAAATATATAGGATGTATTGTCGAAACTGCTCTTTAATAAGTTGCACACAGAATATTTTAAATAATGTTCAAAAATTATCTAATTTATTTATGTGCATTGGAGCTTTTACAATGAAAGAACTTGTTCCATGAAATAGCATACATTTGAAGTGACAAAGATCTAATTTAATAAAATTGTGATGAAAGGAGATAAAAAACTACTTAAACTTAATAATACTTTGTAATTTACATCAGTGTTTTTAAAACATTGATTTAAATTACAATTTAAACCCATGGTTTGATTTATTATTTCAACTGCTAACTCTTGTTTTACCATGAGATTAATTTCACTTTCATCCCACAGCATTTTTTATGACTTGAAATTAGTAGTACTTAACATAATTTCTGTACATTTCATTTCTAATAAAGGTCTCCTTTGGTATAATTTATCTTGATTTTTAATTGCTTGGTGGCAGATTTTTAAGACATAAAACAACACCAAAAATAATTAATAAAATGTTTCAAAAATATCCTTAAAGTGAAAAAAATGACTTAAAAAAGTTTATCAAAACTAGCTGAGATGAACAACTCGAGTTGTTGTTAATTCATGTAATTGAGGCTTCTTTTGTTCAAGTGAACTCAGCTTGAAAATTTTTGGTTTGTACCAGAATGTAAGAAATATATCTTACACCGTGGTTTGGACTGTTCTTTACCAGGAAGTCTGTCTTTAGTAATTGTGAAATTGGATGAACCAACAATAGTGCTGACAGGTGTCACAGGAACCTTAAATTACATACTTGCAGTGTCTGACATTACAATTTCTGAGCAAAGAAATCTAATAGGCTTCTCAGAAATTCTGTGGAGAATATTTGTTGCATCTCGTAAATTTTATTTGTAGCAAATAGCATTAAAATGATATTAAAATTGATGAAATCACCAAAAAATGCTTTAAAAGTTATGGGAAAGGGTTAAAAATGACTTATTAGTAGAAATCAAAGAAAAATAAAAAAAAAGAATAATTTCCATTTGTTATAACATTATATTAATGTCTATAATAAAAGGCATTGTTCAAAAGTGAAAAGGAAAAAATGACGTGTCATTAAACTCCACCCCCTTATTCCTATAGATGCAGGATTACCAAGGCAAAACTTAATATAATTTGGACAACATTTTTTATTAGGATTATATAATACTCCTAGTTTACCACATGTCATCCAGTATAAATACTCTTTGCCAAGGCAATTCCTCGAAACTGAATCCCTCTCTCTGTACTTGGGCTATACCTGCAGAATCTAGTGCTAAGTTCAAAATATCCGCCATGATGAAAGGGTTGCCACAACCGACGGCTGTTGGTATAACTGTTTATGTTTCATTCGATTGCCGACAGATAGCGTTGGTGATTTCTTAGGCACGTAGTAAACAGAAGCGCGTCACGGGCGCTGCAATACGGCGCTGCGTGCGGCTGTTCTCTTGCGAGGATACAATTTGAAGGTAGTTTTCGAACATTCACCAACGGTTAAGGTAACAGCGGCAGTCATGGGATTCGGATGAGTGCGTATTGTTGTGATTTTATTAGTTACGTACTTCTGAAGACTGACAAGTGAATGAAATAAAGTGTGTTTAGTTTTTCTTGTGTTTCGTTGCTGAGAAAGAAGCAGAATGCTGTGCGACGGGACGCTGACCACTTACAGGTAAGTTGGGCGTCGACCGCTTTCGCCACGCAGCGACTGTTTGTTGTCGCATTCTTCTCAAGAGTTGTATGAGGACCAAAAATAAATCATAACTATTAATGCATCTCAAATTCGTCGAAAATTACGAAATTTATGATGCCATGTTTACGCAGATATGTATTTTTCACCTTTGTTGAAAGGAGTGTTAAGTGAATTCCAAAGTTTTAAACTATTGTGGAATGTAGTTGAGTGTAACGTTTAAGGTTGCTTTTCGTAAAAAAATGTTTCGAATTACTAATAAGATTAGAATATATTGTGAAAAAGTGCATAATAGCGAGAAAATGCTGCATGGTTCATTGCTCTTCTGGAGATTTGAATGCTTCATTGATATCATAGATGACGAACTCTTCCATTGTCATTCCTCGTAATGTTGTGCATTTACCAAAATGAAGTACGTGTGAATTTTAGTGTTTTGTCATTCATCACTTTTAATGTGGTCGTGAATATATTTGTGAATTTGCTCCAATGAAGAATATTAAAATTAATTAATGACAAAAACAAGTGTGTTAAACGTAAATGATCCTTATCGTTAATACCAAAGATAATATATCAGCTTTACCGTGACGTTGCGTGAGAACAATATAGCTGAGTCGAGTGTGATTCATAAACGGGACCTCAAAGCTCACGGAGGAGTACGAACGCGAGAAGGAACGGAGTGTTTTGCACCTGTTGGCGCGCCTCCCGTCAGCCATTCTTGGCTGGGCGTGTGCGTGCACGGGTAGGGCGGCGTCGTGCACTCGGAATGCCGGAGCACGCCTGCGTCCGTGTGCGTGCGTGCGTGTGTCGCGCACGGGTAGAGAAACTCGGATGTTGGTGGAACGAGCCGAATTGTACGTGATGAGTTGTTTTTTTTTTGACGGGCAATGAGAGCGGGGTCGTAGGTCAAGGGGCCGTGGCGGCGGTCGGTGCTCGCGTGTCGCCTGGCTGCCCCCTCCCTCGCCCGTGGGCGGCGTGCCGTGTCCCGCCGGGAGCGTGGGCGGCGACCCGCCCGCTCTGGTTGTCGGTGGCCGCTGAATCACTCCGGCCAGTCCGTAATTCAATTCCCGCGCGAAGCACCGCTCCGCTGCCGCGCCCGTTCGCAGCGCCGCCGTCGCCGGGGAGGCGCTCAGATCGCCCCGGAGCCCACCGCCCAATGCTCTCGACAGAAAAAAACGAACATTTTTTAAAATTATGAACAAGAAAAATTTACAAACTATTTTACATTAAAATAATTAGTAAATATGTTAACATTAATAATTGACAATAACAATTTGTGGGTGAAAATATCCCAGTGGTACATTCACCGTTTAGAACAGAAAGTCAATTTAGTCCTTTTGGTTAGGAATCAAGTTGAGTAATATACTCGTATGTGAATATATTGGGGCTAATTTGAAAATCTATAATGGAGTTGTAAGGGTGTAATCGGTGTAAGGGTGTAATCTGGGTAATCGGTAGGTTTCTTCTCGATTGTTTAGGAGGTTGAGGGCTAGAGGATTTGGGTGGATTTCCAGGCGTTGCAGATAGCTTGAGCTGCCAACAAAACATAACTGTGAAAATAGTTGCGTGTCAAACTAGTAGTAAAAGTGGCATTTTATTTCGCGAGTACGAAAGGTTAGGCCGCCTGGCCAAAACGCTGAGTAGCGTATTTGTATACGATCAAAATAAATACCATTTTACCACTTGTCTCTTTCTTCCAAAAGGCAATGTTTCTGAAGCTGGCCATTAATTACTGCTTGGAAACGCATAAAAAGAAACATTTTAATAGATGTCTTAGAAAATTATATTGTGGAAGGAGGGAAATGGCGTGGGAGTAATGTCATCGTTGTGAATTCCGGTGACACAGTTTGTATTTTGAAATCAAAATTAATAACATAATTCATCAGGATCAAAAAAAGTGTTTTTGATTTTCTGTTAATTTGGATTTTTCAGCATAAAAATTGTTATTGAAGCTGGCTTAAATTGAAACGAATCAGATATTTCTATAGTGTTAATGTCTATTAATAAATAAGAATCCTTGTCCCAGCCCGTATCAACTTCCTTTCTCTTACAGCTGTAAACTTTTTCTTAGAAATATAGTGAGGTTTGTTATTTTTATTAAGTTTCCCAGAATTATTTAAAGTGTACGATGATTTGCATTAGGAGCTTTGCTTGGTGGAGAAGTCACTGAGCATTCCCACTGACTCTTCAACTTTGGCTCATCCTGTGACAATAAGGTGGGGGAGGGAGAAACTGAGTCAGACGACCTTGAGATCGAAGTAAGGCCACTTCCACAACGACGTTCACACTGAGGAAACGCCCCACTTCTTGATAATTTATCTATTACACACCTTTAAATCGTAATATATTTCTTAATATAATGTTGTGTTATACTTAATAGAAACAATGATTTTAATATCTAATGAATTTCAAAAAATAACTCATGAGAATTTTATTTGCGCTAAACGAATTAATATGATTTCCGTAGAATATCATAAAGGGTCAGTTGTTTAATGCCTCCTAAGCAATCGCATTAAAACAACTGACGGATTACTTGTTCCGTTCGACCATACAAGTAGTATTTAGTGCATTTAAACCTTTTCAGTTTCGTACGTTAGTAGTATGCTATCTTATTTTATTTCCTCGTGAACTATCTTATTTACTGGTGAGAATTACCCCCTTCGTTTTACTTCGCTTTGATTATGCAGAACATGGTATTTTTGAGGTGTCACATTATTCATGAACGATGCAAGCCATGCAAGTGTTTAATTTCGCATGCTATTAACCACTTAAAGGGCTCTTAAGTAGGCAATTACAAATTCAACGTCTTTCTCCCATTGTATTGTGAGATGTGTTCTTGAGATAAGAAGCCAGCAGTGCTTAAGCCTCTTCGTAGCGCATGAGATTAGTAGTATTTGAAACGTCATTTCTTGAAGGATCTTAAGCAACATCCGCGGCCTTTGGATAAAAAAGGCGCAAATACCGAAACCTAAGCATACTAATGTGTATTATGCAGCCTCATAAAAATTCCTATCAAACGTCAGGGTTGTTGAATAATTTGGTTGTTGGGTGCGTGACTGTTAAATAATTGGTTTCCAACAATAAACATTTCCTTGTTCCAAAACATGAATAAACGAGTAAGTGAATGGAAATCGAACTAATGCATTTGTTTATAGAAGACCAAAAATTGCCACTAATTGTTATTGTGTGCCAAGCTTGAGCACTTGCCATTGAGTTAGTTAAATGACAGTAATGAAGTTAGTTTAGTGACGCCAGGGCCCTTGTGAATATTAATCTCTCCCAACATAACCTCAAATAATGTAAAAAATTATCATAACAATATATGAGTTAAGTCGGTATTCGCTGTATGAGAATAGACGTAATTTCTTAATCAAATATTTGCATTTGCAGTCAAAATACAAATTGTTTCATTGTTTTTGCTGAATTCTTTTTCGAATTATTGGGTATATAACGAAACCATAGACATCTCTCACGTGGCCGGAGGCTGCAAATTTTCTTTCAATTTCTGCACTCATAGCATATGAGTAATCTAGTAATAATATATACATGTTCAGTTTTTGAGATGCAGCAGGGTTCAAGGTTCTAATAATAAAAGCCTTGAACGAGGAAACGTTTGCTGCGTACCAAAACGAACAGGAAAAATACATCTGCTGTGGGGGCTCCCGCGAATGTGTGTAATGAGCTATGAATTTAATGTTAATAAAGTATGAATGTTGTGTGAATGAAGAAATCAAAATGCCATTAACGTGAAGAACACACAAAAAAGAACATGACCTGGTAGAAGAAAAAAAATGAAACTAGGTATGCCAAAACAAAATATTCATTTTAATTGTAGATATATATTAAGCAAAAACTGTCAGATTTGGTTAGTAAGAAGCCCCCCCCCCCCCACACACACACACAGCTCCTTCAGCCTCAAGGCAGTAGGTCAGTGCGCGCACCGAACTTATAAAACGAATTCCCGCCTCTGCGGCAGGGGAACTGTGGAGGGGATAATGAAAAAAGCCGCGCAGCGGAGGCAGCTTCGCGGCCACGGCCACTGACCTCTGGCGGCGCCGCGCCGCTGCTCCGCCGCCGCCGCTCGAAGCGCTGCCTGCTCCTCGCACCTGCGGTTAGGACGCCGCCGCCTCCCCGGCCACGCCCCCCGCTCCCTAAGCCGTTCCCTTTCTCTTTCCCTTTGGTCGGCCCTTGCTACCTGAGTGCCTCGGCGCCTGTTTCAGGCTCCCTTTACACTCGTTTTGCCACATTCCGCGTTCTTTGGCCGCCACGTGAATGCGAAGGGAGAGGAATAGCATTGGGAAACCATTCCGATGACAGTGCTCGCGAAGTTTTCCTGAATAATACTCGTACATGCCTACGGTTCACTTATTGCATGTTTAAATACTAATAAATAGTATAATACTTATGTGATCATTAATATGTTCAGGCCTTATTAACAACATTGACTCTATGAAAAATCTATTTTCACACTTGCAAGACATTATAATGATGAAACTTGTAAATGTTTTTGTGATAATTGATACATGGGATATAGTTGCAACATGTAGTGTAATCATTAACGGCTTCAAGACTATTGTGGAGGCGATGTGTGTTTAGAATAATGTACTTAATAGAGACCGAATGTCGAGTTATGTAATTGCGTTTATTAAAGTAGTTGACTAATTTAAGGAAGCATTTCTCTTGTTTATCATCGTAAAGAATTTGTGTGAACTGTATTCACTGGAACAGTTTTATATATTATAATATATATTTGTATTATATTATAAATATTACTTTTTCGCGATTTGAAAACAAAATTAATACACTAAGGATGCCTCAAAGATTAGGTTTGAAGGTTATGGTGTGTCAGTTCTTAAATTTAATGTCATGCCATTATGAAGTTTGTGTGTTTTTTTAAAGGATTTTTGTCTTTTATGGGGGCCAAATAACCAACAATTTCGTTGTTGAGGAACATCTGACACACTGCGCTCATGAACCGCCGGATT